TGATGATGTTATGCACGGTTGATGATGATAACTTAAAAATCTTTGCTATTTTACGCTGGGTAACACCATTCTGGTATTGCTGCACTATCTTTCTGCACAACAATGGTGGAATTGGTGATCCTCTTACCATCTTGGCTTCTGAGAGACACTGACACTCTGAGAAGCTCTTTTTATACCCAATCATGTTGTCAATTGACCTAATTAGTGTTAATTGGTCTTCCAGCTGTTCGTTATTTGCTCAATTTCCTTTTTCCAGCCACTTATTGCTACTTGTCCTAACTTTTTTGGGATTTGTTGACACTGTGAAATTTTGAATCAACATATTTTTCCTTTAAAATGTTACATTTACTCAGATTAAACTTTTGATCTGTCATCTATGTTAGATTATGAATAAAATATTGACATTTCCACATCTCCACATCATTGCATTCAGTTTTTATTCACAATTTGTTTAGTGTCCCAACTTTTTTGGAATCCTGTTTGTACAACTTCCACACTTTGTGTGGATAGTTTACATTTTGGCGGCTGTTTGTTAATTGTTGAGTATGTTGCTCCTGTGTCCACCAGGAAGGGCAAAGTGTCACTCATCACTTGTATGTTCAGCATGGGGTCTGCCCCTCCCCAGGCATACAGGTTCTTCTGTGGGGTATGTCACTGGTTCTGATATCCCGGGCCCCCGTTCAAGGGTGGGTCAGGCCCAGCAGGTTGGTCCAGTGCAGGATGGTAAGGGTGAGCTGGTGGGACCGCTTTGCATTTCTTGGCCCAGTGTCCGAGTTGACCACAGATGTAACAGGCATAACTCCGCTGCTGTCCCCTCAGTTGTCCACCCTGGCCTCCCCCTCTTTGCCACACGCCCCTTCCTCGTTCACCCCTGCTGCTGTTCCTGAATGGTGCTGGTGTCCATCTAGGTTTGTGGCGAGGTGGGCTGGTCCATTGTTGGACCTCATACATACCAGGAGGTGGATAATTAACCTCCATCATCATTTGTTTTTTATTACACTTTTTATTGTGTGCTGCTTGGCGGGCCTCGCTCAGCTGGAGTTTCAGCAATTCAGCCTGCAGGCTTTTTAGGTCTTTATCTTCTTTTCCTGCCAGATCTTTAGCGATCTGTAAATGATGGGCAACGTGTTTTTCCCATCTCGCTGAGTCTGCGCCTAACAGGTAAGGATTTTTTCTAATTTCTTCTGCCACCTCCTTCGGCAGGCCCTCAAGGACGGCCTGTCGAAAGTATGGCTGTTTTTGCTCAGCTTGTCCATGTCTCCCTGTACATTTTACCCATGCTTCTCTGCATTGATCTAGAAATGCACATGGTTCAATATTTTTGTCCCAATGAAATTTAGGTATTGGAGTCCCTTCTGGGAGTGGATATATTTCTCTCACTGCCGCAGCTAAGCGATCATAAATCTGGTTTAGGGCCACATCATCTGGTATGTCTGCCATGTTCACATCATTGACTCTGACCATATTTTGAAGATTATTTAACTTTAAACCTATCATGCATCTCCCCGTTATTGCTCTAAAGTCTCCCACCATGAGTGTGTGTCCGAGTGTAAATGTGTTAAGCTGATCTAACCAACGACCTCCTCCCTCAGACAATGATGGCAACTTTTCTACTATCGCCTGCACATCACCAATAGAAAATGGTTTATACCTGGACATCCCATCAGGTCCCCTCAACGGGGGTAAGCACCACGTGCTACAACAGCCACAGTACCACTGTCAGCTCCATCTAACTTCTCTTCTCCTAACTCTGATGCTGCATCTGATGAGCTGACTTTAATGTCTCCCATCGCTGAAACCACATTATCACCTCCTGGCGTCTTGTAACTTAATCTGTCAGGGGATCCTGTCTGCCTCTTACCTCTCAGGTTAACTGTGTCTTCCTCATCACTATCTCTCAACACCCCACCATATAACCGTTACCTTTATCCTTCCTGTACAACCTCCTGTATTCAAACCAGTTCTGCTTGTGATTAGATGGTCTCTTTGGTACACCCCTCCTCCATTACCGGCCCTCTTCCTTGTTGACATTCTTGTCAAACTGGTTGAAAACAACAAAGTCTATGCTCAATAATCCAGGTATAAAATCCAACATTTTTCAGTCAGGTCATCTGGACAGTTTATTTTTTTGTGCTGAAACATTTCGCCTTCGATCTGGAAGGCTTCATCAGTCAATCTAATCACAAGCAGAACTGGTTTGTTCCACTTTGGAGTAATCTGTTGGGGTAAGAATCAGTTTTGTTGTGCGTTTCCTTGACTGATGAAGCCTTCCGGATCGAAGGCGAAACGTTTCAGCACAAAAAAGAAACTGTCCAGATGACCTGACTGAAAAATGTTGGATAAATGGACTGTACTTATACAGCGCCTTTCTATCTGATCAAGACACTCAAAGCTCTTTACACTACAATCTGTGCCTCATTTACCCATTCATACAGCACTCTACTAGATCTCTACAAAGCTAATTGAACAAACCATTCTAAAGAGAATAATCATTGCTTTAGATCACATTCATACACCGATGGGACACACATCGGAGGCATTGAGGAGTTCATTGTCTTGCCCAGGGACACTTCGGCATGTGACCGCTGGTGGATTCGAACCCCCAACTCTTGCATTGGAGGACGACTGCTCTAACCACTCAGCCACATCCGCCCCTTTGTCAAAAGTCTCGGATGCAGAAGCATGGTCTTTCAGCACCTTCTGCACAGCGGGGAAGTGCAGCACCTTTTTTCTCTGTACATGTACAGAGAAAATGTTCATCTGGGCTTTAAATGCATTTAAAGCACTTATGTCAGCAATAGTCTTACCTTTGCCTTGCAGCTCACAGTTCAAATGGTTAAGTTTCCCAGTAATGTCCATTAAAAATGCAAGGTCAAGTGTCCACTCAGTGTCCTCCAGCAGCAACATGTCTTCGCCTTTGGATTGCATGATCTCTTTGATTTCACCCAAAAGTAACAAAAAATGAAGCAAAATTCGTCCCCTGCTGGGTCATCGGATTTCTGTGTGTAGAAGCAGGTCACCATATTCAGCTGACAGCTCCTCCAATAGCACCTTGAATGTTCTGTGCTGTTTATGATATTCACAACGGGAGTCATCACGTGCTCAAAGCCGATAACCTTTGCACATAACGCCTGCTGGTGGATGATTCAGTGGTAATGCAAAAAGTTTGGGAACTCTGTGTCACCTTTACAGTAAGCGATGAATCCTGTATGTCAGCCAATCATAGCAGGAGCCCCTCGGTAGTCACAGATACCAGCTTTTCCAACGGTAACTTTTTTTCCACAAAAAACTCCTTCACTGCGTTATAGATGTCAACTCCCCTCGTAGTTGTAGGGGCAGTAGTGTCAGAAGTTCTTCTTTTATGGAGAAACCATCAAACACCATCCGGACAAAGATCATCAGCTGTGCTGTACTGCTGCTGTCCAGACTTGTCACACTGGATGCTAAACCACCTGCACTTCCCTAGATCCCGGTCCAGCTGATCGGCCAAGTTCCCAGACATAGCCGACACTCTTCTAACCATTGTAGTTCCCCCCAGTTGGACATCGGAGACAGTGGAGATTACATCGGTTCCATATTTCTCGTCTTTAAGCACAGTTTTTGCGATTATCGTCATTGCTTCTTTGAAAACTTCCCTGTCTGAAATTGCCTTCTTTTTCTTGATCAAAAAATGTGTAGCTCTAAATGAGGCTTTGGTTGTTCTTTGGGAGTTTTTCACTGATCTCGTGAAAAAAGACTGTTGTTTGCACAAAACTGCCTGTAACTCGTAGGCTTTTTCTTCTCATAGTGTGCTGCCTGGTGGGTAGTTAGCATGGTAGCTTGTGTGACACATTGTTGAATGTCTCTCCACATTGTGCCGCTTTGCCGTTGCCACAGTCGCCCCGCATATGAGACACACGCAAGAATCTTTCACATCCGTAAAAAAGAACTCTTCCTCCCATTCATTGCGAAAATTATACGTTTTCTTTATTTTTTCTGCCATGTTGTCAGGGATAAATCAAATCCTCACCTTCACTGCTTCCATTAGCTGATGTAACATTTCATCTTGGATTACGTTAAATGTCAAATTTATTCATGACATTTACTCTCTAACAACACAATGGCAACACGAACAGTGCAAATTTGTAAATTTTCACAAATCTAAACTCAACCTGTTCACAAGCGACAAGTGAACAGTGCAAAAGTAGTAGTTAATTAATAGATATACTTGACAGTTTCTTAAATAAAAATGGTACTTCTTTACAATAAGGCTCCCCTTGTAGATGGCTAATAGTTTATAGATGTTATTAATTCTTCTATAAACACTTTATAAATCATTAATAACTGCTTATTATGCATTAAGGGTGGGAAAGGGACCAAACTGACCAGTTTCTTGCCAAACCTGTTCAGCTACTACCACATCAAACTTTAGCCTACAAGCTATAAATTTGACTAAGTCATATTCCATTTTTGTTGTGGTGAAGTTTGACTATTTGCAGTGGCCATATTTAATTGGTTTGACAGTAAAAATTAATCAGTTGTAAAGGCACATCTACAGTAATGATTACTTTCTGAAAGTTCTAATAAAATTTATCGTAAAGTGGTTCAGGAGATATTTTGCTAAAATGACAGAAAAATGAACACACACATAGTCAAAGACAAAAATGTTTTCACTCGCCTTTGACTTTTGTCGGAGGATGATGATAATCTGTAAATACACTGAATTCCAAACAGGCAGAAACAAACCAACCGATCAATGCACCACAAAACACCCCATTTGTGACAATTTGAGCATTTTCAATTAAAACAAATGGGACACATTTTCTCAACAGTGATATACAGTAAATAAAGTATAACACATGTTTAAACAATCGTTTCCTGAGGAGATAAGTTGAGACCATCTAAACCTACAAAGATCACACCGAGGTTACAGATACATCTAAAAAACAGTGAGTTCTCCATAATTAATATCTCTTGTGTCCTGTTAAATTAAATGCACTTGACCAGCTGGAAATTATAGCTTAAGGCCATATAATATTGGGTTTGTATTGGCAATAGCAGTTCAATGGTTCTCTGTCAAGGGAACATTTTTCCAGTGGACAATTTATTTGCCCCCTGTTCTGTACTAACACTTCCTCATCGATAGGATCTTCTGAAACAGAGTATACACCAACAGAGCCATCCTCAAAACCCACAAACACACCCTGATGCTCACTCACAACCAGAGCTGATGGATTCTTACACAAATGCACATTTCCAATTCTCTCTCCATCTGAAAGATGTGCGATTGTTAGGATGAAGTTTGTGTGCAACAGATTGGATGAGCTGGATATGTATGCAAGATAGCATCCAGTTTTGTCAAAGCAAGCCATAATGACAAGACCCTCGGCTTTGAATGAGCACAGTCGGACCTGGGACAGGTCCAAGACATTGATGAAGTTATTTTCAGTGGATAGCAGCGCGTAGTTCCCATCAGAAGACATTTGGAAGTTTTGCGGCTGACACTGAAACATATTCGGCAGTTGAAAGTGCTGGCACACTGTCTCCTCTGACATCTTCCAGGTGTATACTGCCCCTGAGGCAACCATCACCACTACATAGTTTGGGTGCTTTGAAAGGGCGTGAAAAGCAACAACACGTTCCGAGTTATCCACGCAGGAGAATCGCTTGCTGATGGTACCTGACCACAGGCTTGCAGCCAGCAGGTCTCCGCCGCGGAGGCCGATGAGGAAGGTGCTCTCAGGTGACACCTGAGCATCAGATAGATACTGGTGAATGCTGCACACAATACCTCCATGGGCCATTTTCCAAACACGCGAGAGCCCTTGTTTAGATATACTAACACCAAAGTTACTATTAGGGGTGATCAGGACATTTGTGGCTCTGCTGCTGCTGATCCGCATAAAATTCTGACTAGTTTCAGTCTGCCAAATGTAAATTTCTCCTCCTGAGAGGGAAACAAGGTTGATGCTGTTTGAAGACAGCTGCAACTTGTCTACAGGCTCTTTGTGGACAAAGTTAACACATAGAAATCCTGTGTCTAAACTCCACTTCCACACATTCTCCGACCCATCTGAAGTATAAAACCACTTCCTGGATTGCTCAACCACCACTTCTCTCACGCTGCTCCCCATTTTTGGAGTCTTTTTTGCAGCATTTATCATCTCAGAGTCCCACACCGTTAGGCAGCCGTTGCGATGGACACAAACAACATCTGAAGCCAGCTTGAGGAGAGTGTGGGGCTGATCGTTTACTTCTAAGGAGAGGAGACACTCTCCGGTGCTGAGCCTCCACACTAAGATGGAGGTGCAAAAGTCCAACAGTGCCAAGAAAAGGTGTCCATCCATGGAGAGCACTGCTTGAATGAAGGCTCTCCCTTGTGGAGCTAAGAACTGGTCCCACAGGTCCCAATTAGATGTATCCCACAGTGTCACTTGATAATATTGACACAACAAAAGTGTGCTGGTTTCTTCAACATAATCTGTGCTTTGAATATTGTGAGATTTATCCTGAATACAGATTTCTTTGACAGGTCTTGGTGGTTGTATTTTGCCAGCTATGTCCCATACCACAATGCTCCCGGTCCTGTTGACACATGCCATTGTGTGCTTCTCTTCACAGAGTATTATCAACACAACTGCACTTTGGTTTGAACAGGTGCCAAGAAGACTGTTGGTTTGCATGTCAAATATAGACAGGGTGCCATCTTCCTGTCCACAGTACATGCAAAAACTACTGAGGGAGTAAACTACACATGTCACAAAGCTGTGACACTGGAAATGAGTCATGGTCTCAGTGGAGATATCAAAAATACTGACAAAGGTTTCATTTTCCCACCACATGCATAACATTTTCTGCCATGCGACAAATCCCTGAACTACGTTTAGTGTCGGGCTTGACTCAAACTCTGTTTTCAGAGGGTCAGTGATTTCTAGAAGCCTCTGTTGGGTTGTCACGTCCCACACAAACAGCTTGTTGCATCGTGTTGAAAGCAGCAGGAATTGTCCACTACTTTTCACTCCGACAAACTTCAGCGCCTGCTGCTCACAGCTCAGAGACAGTTTGGCTAGCTCATAACCACAGCCTTTCCAAATCCAAACGGAACCATCATCCATGACCTCTGCAACAACCCCACATTCTGTACCAGCAATTTCTGAAACACAGTCCCCTTTGGTCTGGGCATCATACTTTAAAAACTGAATAGGGGGAACAGAACAGGGACTAGGACAAAATACTAATCTCAGTCCTCTTCTGCTACTCCTTCTTCTCCGTCTGATGTCTTTGACAAAACTTTCAAGAGCAGGAAAGACGTCAAGGTAAGGGAGGAGGCTCGTCTCCATCACTGTTGGCAGCTGCAGTGGTGAACTCTGCAGGAAGCAAGTAGAAGACTTCAAAATGCTTGCTAGGAGCAGTCGTTCTCTTAAAAAAGTTGAGCCTTCATCAGCTTCCAGCATGGCTACAAGTTCCCCCAAAAGACCAGCTTGAACTAGAACTTGGTGAAAGCCTGAAGACTTTAACAGTCCACACTCCAACTCCTCCATCCTGCCACTATGTTGCAAGTGATGTGGTAACTCCACAACACTTCTCAAGCAAACATGACCTACGTTATCAGAAGAAGGGAACAATAACGGCTCGTTGTGTGCATGCTTGTCCATTTCATGTTTTGGTCCAGATGAAAGCTCTTTCCCATTGCTACAAACCCATCTGTCACTAAAATAGTCTGCCATCTCCGAATGAATCCTTCTCTTCAACTCATCAGTGCTCAGATACTTTTTCCCAATGACCAACTTAAAATGCCTGCTCACCCAGAACAAAACCTGCATGTTTGAAACTGTCCTTTTAATGAGAAAGTCCTTTAGGTCCAGAAGCAGCCTCTCCACGTTGACTTGTGGGACCTTCGACTCAGAGCTGAGGCACTCGCTCTGAGGAGTGTCTTCAACTGAAAGCTTACTATCACAGGACAGGAGGTCAGCGAGCTCGGCCTCAGAGAGTCCAGTCCTGGAGAGGCTGAGGTAGGACACTGAACGAGCCACAAAGGAAGAGCCATGTTTGAGCTCCAGGTGATCCAGGAGAGCAGAAATGGATGAATGGACTCCATCAGGGAGTGATGACTCTGTCACGTCCGAGTCTGAAGTTAAAAGAAGAGAAAATTATTCAATTTAAAGTGCTGATATATTAGGCTAAATTGTTAACTTTTCTATTAAATGACCAAAAGCAACAGTAAATTTAGTAGATGTTGACTTATATTCAGCTATGAAATATTCAGCTATGAAAATCGTTTCCATGTGCTCCATTAGGTAGGCATGTTTAAAGTTGATTAATCTGTAAGTCGGGGGAAATCACAAAAATTTGCTCAAGGGTCACGTCTGTTTTGACAGTTAGCCAAGTTTATAGTAATAATGGCCAGCAAGTTTTTCCTGTTAATTCTCTACAGAAATACAAATAATGAAAATATAATAAACACAATGACAAATGCTCAATGCTTTTTTTCCCCCCCTCTATCCTCCGGTGAAACCAGACGTGTTTCCCTGTCTTCCCCCCCACCCACTTCCCTGCTGCACTCTTTTGTCACGTGAACCCTTAAAAAGCTTCTTTTTTTTCTGCATACCTCTTAATTCGAAGGATCAGTTGGTCTCTCAACAAAATTGATCAACTTCTCCCGGCAGGAGTCAGGGTAAGGAGGACCCTCTTACCTTGACAGAAACAAATTGGATTCATGATGACAACTGGTTATTTTGCTGTTTGGTTGGTGAATTCTGGATTGTCTACAAATTCGTGTGGATGTGCTGAAGCTCGACAGTGCTCAGAATGAATTTGGAGAGCTGCAGCAGGGAGCTGGAGCAGCTGTTATCAGGACTGTAAACTCACTGGCAGCACTCATGAATGGTGGGAATAATCTTGGAGAAGCTGTGAGCTCGACTTTTGGAGTAAAGGATCAATTCGGCTGTTTTGGAGTTTCCATTAGAGGAATATATACCAGCGAGACTTTAAAAAAGGCAGAAACAGCAATTCATGAGTTCTGACTGACCCAAACTGTGGCCTTGATGCCGGACTTATCTCAACTTCTCCTGGAATGTTTTGAAAACAACAAAGATGCTTTGACTGTTTCCTCACCCCTCCCTTCCCCAAGGCCATGGGCATGTAACAGAACCTCAACTGAGCTGAAGATGAACGTCACCTCTTATCTGGACAATGGCTGAGGAGGGGTTCTGGACTATGCTACGCCTTTCCCTTAAAAATTCAATGTTTTCACCGCCTATATGTAAATGTATAACGTCTGGTTATGTTGCTTTGCTGTGGTAGGTTTTTTTGATGCCTCAAATTGTGCCCTGTCTAGGACACGGTGTGAGAGATCTTTTTTTAATACCGTCTCTCCTCGTGTTTTCTTTCCTTTTCTTATCTAAGCAAAACATTATTCTGAATAAGAATAAGAAGGCCGCGCTGATTATTTTAGCCGCAGCTTTGTGCACTCCGCCCATCTTCGGACCACTGTACATACATATTCGCGTTGTATCTTGGTGCAATGCCAATAAAGTTTATTCTGATTCTGAAAAATGTTTTTAGGGTCTTAAGGCCTCACGGAAATTTATAGAGCAGGTGAAGTTTTCTAAAATGACTTAGGTAAATATCAAACTTCATGCTCAAAAATCCAGGTAGAAAATCCAACAAAGTTCAGTCAGGTCCTCTGAACGGTTTCTTTTTTGTTGAGACATTTCATTCTTCATCCAAAGGACTTCATCAGTCCATGAAGCCACAACAAACTCAGTCCCACAAGCAGCACACCCACATAGTGGACCAACCAGTTTGCTGGTGATAAGATGGTTTCTGGGGCCCGCCCTCTCCCCTGTCGACTTCTCTGAGACAGCCATAGCCAAAGTGATTCAAAACATCAAAATTCACGCTCAATAAGTTTGTGGCTCCTCAGATTAATGAAGTCCTTTGGATGAAGGATAAAACATCTCAACAAAAAAAAAGAAACCGTCTAGATGACCTGACTGAACTTTGTTGGAGTTAGGTAAATCTTTCTTTTCCTTCTAAATGTGAGCACAGTTTTTCAAGACATTATATAAAATATTTTACTGACATGATCTGAAAGAGCATCTAGCTTTCTGCTCTGTCTTTAAATGATCTACAGTTGCTTTTGGTCTGGTTCTTGTTTGCTCCTAACTTAAAGATGTTAACCAGATTGACTCCATCAGAAAACATGTTTTTGGTACCAGAGTGCCACAGCGAGGTGTGTGCATGCAGGAGTCGAGCGTAGAGAGGCAGGCAGCAGGAAGTCAGGGCCTGGTTCACCAGTGCTTGTTGTCCTGACGTCACTCGTCTCCCTGAAGTTTTCAGCAAAGATTCCAACAACTTCAGACATTGTTTCCTGTCCACAGGTTCCATTTGTACACAAATATACCCCGACGCTCTTTCACAGCTGTCTGACAAACTGCAAGAATGACTTGTGTCCGTGTAATGGAATTTGATGGTCTGCAGAAGACGTGTACAGCTGGGGGAAACTGTGATGATGAGCTTGACACCATCAGGGAGGGGGGAAGGGAGGCTGGTGATGATCTGAGCACCCCCGTTGTCTTCCAGTTGATCCAGACCATCGAGGAGAAGGATGAGGGGGCGTGTTGTAGAAGAATATAAGGAGAAGAGGGATTTGAGACGCTCTTTAAGTTCAGACAGACAGACCTGATGATGCGTTTTAAGAGCAGAGTGTGACGTGACAGAGAGGTTCAAGTTCTCATTAGAGGGATGCTCTTCATGGCCATGGTCGCCATGAGAGTCCAGAAAAGACGTGGAGCTGCAGTTGCTTGGGGTTACTCTGGAGTTAGGGTTGGAGCTGGGATCAAGGTTTTTAGACAAAGACTGGAGTTCATATCTGAAAGCTATCTGAGAGCACAAACTGGAGAGCAGATGTTTTGGAGTTGTGTTGATTGACAGGCTGCAGAAATAACCAATCACCACAGGATCCCTGTCAGCCAGCCAAGACTTGATCTGGGGAGGCAGACAGATGAAACATCGAGAAATATTTACTATCATGTGATGCATATACGTGCAATACTTTATTACGATGCACGTGCATTTAGTTTTTATCTGTTGAAACACTTTTTCCTTATATTTCTTTAGATTAACATTTTTACACAAGGAATAAACTATTTCCTTAAAGTTAAAGAAGTTTAAATATAGAGACTTTGTTCTTAAGATGTATTTATTAGAACAACATTAAAATAAACCTGCTGAGTGCAGTGTGCGACCAGCACAGTTTTCCCGCTGCATGGCCCCCCAATCACCACCAGAGGGTGCTGTTGGCTCCTCAGCTCCACGTAAGACCTGATCTACAACAGAACAGAGTGAAATTCAGTTTGGAGCAGATTTTGTTTTACTTTAATTATTGACTCGGGATTAATCAGAACTTTACAAAGTAAACCAGAACGTGATAAAACACTTATGCGAAAATAAATTGGTAGAATTAAAAAAGGAATCATTAATGTGTCGTTAAAAATCAGACTCTGTAAAACTTAGTCCTCACCATGTCCTCCTCTGGCAGCCTGATGTCATAAAATGGAGACAGGACGTTGCACAGACGCTCCTGCTCGAGCTGCTCTTCCTTAATGGGAGTGTCTGCTCCGGGCAGAGAAATGTTCCAGCTGTCAGTCAGCGTCAGGAGGTCTGAGAACACCTGCTGGCAAAGAGAGTTGGCGTATCCTCGCCTCCTGGCTGTGGTGTAACCATGGCGACGGTCACACTCTGTATGTGTGGTGTATATCAGAAGTTGGCAGGAAGTGACCAGAGCAGGCAGGAAGTTGTCGCACAGTTCAGATAAAAGTTTGCCTTGTGTGGGGGCAGTCCTCAGAACGGCTGGGTCAAAAGTCTCATCCTGGAAATTAAAAAACTTCCAATTATAAGAGCTTCAAGAATATTATTTTCTGTAGTTTCATAATAAACTCAACGTAGAACGGATCACAGAATCAAAATACCATCTACAGCAGATGAACAGCGTCTGTCCTGTAAAGAGCTGAAGCAGGACCTGAGACATGCTTCAGTTAATCTTCTACTGAACATTAGGTCTTCAACAACAAGCTACAATAATATTTACTGTCTATCAAACCGTGTTATCTTTGGTATTTTTCATAGATCCATCTAAAGAAATGGGAACAAATAGCGTATCTGAGACAAAATGCTGGTAAAATTCCAAAAGATTACATTAAAATGCACCATGCCAAGATGGCCGCTCTCAGCTGAGCCACAGCTTCACAGGCTCCCGGTGAACTCAATCTTTTTTTGTGCCTGTTGTTTTTGTTTTAACATTTTTTGCACCTACAATGTACAGCCACAGTACATGTATGACCACGACACACACACAGTTTTCTGTGTTGCTGCCATCATGCCATCCTGGTTCTGTCCTTCCAGCCTCGGGCTCAGGCTGTCGCCATGATCCTCCATCTGCCTGCATGGACCGAACTCTACGGACCCGTTTGGTTCTGCGGGGAAACCCTGGATGTTCTCTGTTTGCTGGACCCGGTTCTGGAGGACTGCTTGGGAGGGCAGCTGCTGCGGTCCTTGTTATCATCAAGCCGCTGACGGGACCTGCTAACAAGACCTGCTAACACTGCTAACAAGACCTGCTAAGACCTGCTAACGCTGCTAACAAGATCTGCTAACAAGACCTGCTAATGCTACTAACAAGACCTGCTAATGGTGTTAACAAGATCTGCTAACGCTTCTAACAAGACCTGCTAAAACTTCTAACAAGACCTGCTAACAAGACCTGCTAACGCTGCTAACAAGATCTGCTAACAAGACCTGCTATCGCTGTTAATAAGACCTGCTAACGCTACTTACAAGATCAGCTAACGCTGCTAACAAGATCTGCTAACGCTGCTAACAAGATCTGCTAACGCTGCTAATAAGATCTGCTAACAACATCTGCTAACGCTGCTAACAAGACCTGCTAACGCTGCTAATAAGATCTGCTAACGCTTCTAACAAGATCTGCTAACGCTGTTAACAAGACCTGCTAACGCTTCTAACAA